TATATATATATATATATATATATATATATATATATATATATATATATATATATATATATATATATATATATAATTTGACATTCTGCAACTTCTTAAAGTGCCCAGAACTCAAGAAGTACCTTTATTATATCAGCCAACGCGAAAGTAGCAAGCTACCTTACCGGTTAACGTCGTTCGAAGCGGTTGAGTGAAGTGCCGTTTCTTCTCAGCAAAACCTCGGAACGATCAATGCGAAACGCCACTGTGTGTGAGGATTTCAACTTAACGATTAATGACGTCTAAATTACTTGAAGTAGGAAGGTTTAATTTAAATGAATAAATAAGTAAACACTGCTGGATTATTAATTAAAAGGGAATTGTGTACAGTTAGAGTCCATTGCTTGCAACAAGTTGACACGATCGGCTTTACTAATTTCTTCACAAATTGAGGACATCTTCAAATGGAAACTACTTTCTTGCCTTCGATTGCATCACATAACTTTATTAACATGCATAGGCAGCCCGCTTGAAAAATGAGATGAATATCACATAAAATGTCAAATAACTGGCTTGAAATCCTCTCACCGAAGCAATTAGGTGATAGGAAATTTCATAACCGCATTACTCAGCGCGAAGGCGTAAACATAACACACGACGACGACGACGACAATCACGAAAATTATTAGCTTGGTTAGCACGATTTTTCTTAAGCGGTACATAATTTCTCGAAATATTTGAGCGCGTAATAAAATGCGAAATCTGCCATGTGCTTTCTCTCTCATCTTAAATATCACAGTGATCAATGTAGTCAAGAATTCAATTTTCTATCCCGATAATTAAATGTCAAGTTAAATGTCGTTGAAAATAAAATGTCCTTTAATTTATCTAAAAAACAAGATTATTACTTATGCATACAAAGAAGGCTTCTCTTTTTCAGACGTTAAATAATTTGGAAGCTACAAAAACCTGACATTATTAAGCATCTGCCATTCTTCGCATCTTTTACTTCCTAGCGGTCGTACTTTCAAGATCTCTACGTTATACTTGTTTTCTTTTTTTTTTTAACACACAAACAAAGGGCGAAATATCGTTCGCCCCGCGCAATTTTCCTAAAAGGAATAGGCTCGCGAAGAGGCGGGGCGGGATAAATGGAGGAAGCGAAAGGAGTCGCCTGGTCTGGAAAATGGACGAAAGGGGAAGTAGACTTCGCGGTACTGTCTTTCTCGGCGCGACAGCGAGGCGAAGGGGAGACTCTTACTTTCAGCCTCGGCGTCGCGTGCGCTAATGGCACGATTGCATAACCGTTCCCTCTGCGGACGAGCACGTAAGTCGCTCGTGAGTCAAGTGGCAAAGCCAGCTCACTCCGAGGCAGAAGTGGGTCGTGCAGAAATTGGTCACGGATGCATCGACTTCTCTTCTCCGGGCGTCGCAATGAACGGCGGGCCGCCCTGCAACGAAACGTAAGATTGGGTCACGAAGGTCGGAACAATGAAGTTGATCGAAGATCAGCTGCCTCGCGTGCCCTTCGTGTTTCCTCATCGCATCTCGTCGACGAACCGCTCGTCAAAAATCGATGTAGCGGAACGAAAAAATAAAGCGCCTTCCATTGCTCTCCTTTCTCCCTGCATCTTGCAGTTCTTTTCTCTCTCATATTTCAAGGCCCGTATGAATAATTATTACTTGAATATTATTACTCGTTTCTTATGAAATATTTAGACTTCAATTTAGAATGTTAGATGATAGTTTTTCGGTTGAATCGCCGTTACAGATAATGTGACATATGTTACAATTCAACTGAGAAACTTGGATCTAACTTTGAATAAAAATCTGAGTATCATGAAACGAGTTCAGATGACGACTGTTGATACGAGCCTTATCTCATCTTCCTCTCAAACTTACATAAAATAATAATTCTCGCAACACGTCGACGATGAGACACAAGTGTGAGAACGATAATAACAGTTCAGATGAAATTAATTATAATCCACTGCCGCGTAAATTTTGCTGCACTTCGTGAGAATTCACGCGATTATTTCTGAAATTCGATCAGGAAGATCACGGTGTCGATGTCAGTTAAAATTTATGTGTAAAATACACACGCATGTATGCGGTGTATTATACTTTATTATGATAATGTACCAGGAGACTTCGTTGCCGTTAACTTTACGTAATCCGCCCCTAGCTTCGTTATATTAATTAAATTAAGCCGTTAATTCTCCGGCAAACGAAAGAACGAGAGCTATAAGAGCTCGATCGAACTCTGATGTTCCCCGAGGAAATGTAAGCGCAAGGATAGTGTGTAAAGGTCAAACTATATATAACGAATTTAATTAAATATTGAATATGCATCGTATGTTGCAGCAATGCATGCGCTTTCCCTTCAAGGTTCCATAGTGACGTAGGTCGGATCAATTTTTGATTTCGCTCTTCTACAAAGTTACTGATATATTCATACATGTGACACGCGGTAACATCAATTCGGTCCGTAAGACTATTTCGAAAAAAGCTTCCGAGACAACTGAACGTGCGTCGGTACGATGAAGGTTATTGATTTGTTGGCGAAGACATGGCGGAAACTGGGTCGACGACTTATCATTCAGTTTCACCTTGCCGATAGAATGGAATGACATTTACCAATAACAAGAGACTCGTAACGAAGAATGACCTGAGATATCCTATGAGAAGTTGGCATTTCTCTCGAGAACGTCCCTCAGTAATATCGCTTTTCCGACCTGCTTGCGGAATTAGTAACATTGCGTGTAATAATTATATTAACATATTATGTATTTTTTAACGCATGCTAATGAGTTGCCTTTCATTTGCATGACCTTTTTTCGCATGACTTAATAATATCCGCTTAGCACGTTCTCTTTTTACTTGAAATGCGCATGCATTTTTACCATTACGAAATATCTTTTTATATCTGAGATTTTTCCATTTGAAAATTCATCTCAGTAACGCACGCGTTTCTAGTGTACTTTCTTTCAACGTCTGTCGTTAAAATGTTGAAGGAAAATCTCTCTTTACTTCATTTATCCTTCTCGTACATCCATCCTCGTTTTCAAGTTGGAAGATGGCTGGGAATCGAAGGGTAGGGGGAATAATGAGAAGTGCGCGGTAATGTAACTACTTTACAATAATATTTATTTCATTTTCTGTAAAAAAATACATACTTTGCTAATATCGGTACAAAAGTAAGACAAGCGAGTTGTTCTCGAGCGAAGATCGCTAAAGACGAGTACATCCCTACTGATCATTCGTTCTTCCTAACTGGTGGCACACGTCGTCGTGCCGCGCCCTCTTCGCGATCAGTGTCGAGGTACCAATGTCCGGCACGCGATCTGCCGGAAATTGTCCCCGATCCGATCCAGGTACAAAGTGGCGGGTATCTTCTCGTGGCGCCGCATGACAACGTTTTCGAATCGGTCCCTCGTGTCCTAAGAGTATATCGACAAGGTCCTCGGCGACCGTGGTTGTCCGTCGTCGCGGCGGGGTTTCGTTTACGCTCGAACGAAAGACCCGACGACGAAGAACCAATCGGAATTGTGGCATTAATGATGATGATCATAGCCTACATCGCCACCGTGATATCCACCCTGATATCCACCCTGATATCCACCCTGATATCCACCCTGATATCCACCATGATATCCACCGTCGTATCCACCGTCGACGTAGCCATGATGGTCGTGGTGTTCATGGTGCACGGGCACAGCTACCGGCACTTTAACGTGCACTGGGTATGGTACGGGCTTCTCGACCGCATAGGGCACAGGCTTCTCGATGTGGACGGGGTACGGCCTGTCGACCGGGACCTTGACTGCTACCGGCACGGGCTTCTCGACGGGGTAAGGCACCGGCTTCTCGACTGGGTACGGCTGCGGCACTGGTATCTTCACGGGTACTGGCACGGGCTTCTCGACGGGGACGGGGTATGGCCTGTCAACTGGTACCTTCACGGGGTAGGGCACGGGTTTCTCGACGGGGTAAGGTACGGGCTTCTCGACGTGCACGGGGTAAGGCTTGGGAACGGGTATGTGGATGGGACGGTCAACCGGGACTTTGACGGGATAGGGCACGAGCTTTTCGACTGGGTACGGTTGGGGTATGTGGACTGGGACTTTCACTGGTACAGGAACTGGTTTCTCGACGGGGTACGGCTGCGGCACTGGTACCTTTACGGGAACATGGATGTGCTTCTCTACGGGATAAGGCTGCGGCACGTAGACCTTGACTGGGACGGGACGATCGACGGGTACGTGCACTGGGTAGGGAACCTTCTTCTCGACTGGATACGGCTGGGGCACGTGAACGGGCACCTTTACGAGAACCTTGACCGGGTAAGGCACGTGCTTCTCAACTGGGTACGGTTGCGGTACGGGCACTTTGACGGGTACCGGTACAGGTTTCTCTACCGGGTAGGGCACGTGCTTCTCCACGGGGTACGGTACGGCGACGTTCTTCACCACGGTCACGGTCTTCACGTGCTCGTGATGACCGCCGTCGATGTATCCGCCGAGTCCGCCGTGGCTGTATCCGCCGTGGCTGTATCCGCCATGGCTGTATCCGCCGTGGCTGTATCCGCCGTGGCTATATCCGCCGTATCCACCGTATCCAGTGCCCAAGTCGAGGCCGACGTGTCCGCCAGATCCGATGCCGTATCCGCCGTCATAACCGTAGCCGTAGCCCAGACCTAGCAGGCCACGCTTCTCTTGCTTCTTCTCGACCCCGGACTTTTCCTCAACCGACTTCTCGACTTTCTCGCTCGCTTTCGCGTCCTCCGACCATGCTGTCGCAACCACGAGAGCGGCGACTACCACGTAAACCTGAGAAAAAAAGAAAAACACGCAATGTCATCTGTCGTTACGCTCGACATGCGTAATGCCGGATCACGGCATTCGTTTATGCATTCTAAACAGCCGACGGAGAAAACGTGAGCTCCGAAGGACACGCGTATCAAAGAACTGGTTGAAAATAATATGAAATCCGCAAGGCTGAGCCTTTCTACCGATACTGTCTATGTCTTCGCGACACGTTAGGATCTGAGACGTATCTTAGATCGACGCGGGTTACGACGTATATTAAAGAATCTGTCCCTGATCTACCGCAGTTGGAACACACAAGTACATCACCGCACGATGCAACGAGTACTCCCTGAGCTCTAACGAGATTTCACTGCGCGACGAAGCGGCGACAAATCCTAACTCGCGACCCGCTAACGCCGGGGCTAGGGAACGTCCGTGTAGGGAAGCACTCCGTGAGCAAGCCGTGCGCGGATTTCTCTGAACGCTAGATAGACTGGCGCGATAGCCAAATCTATTGCGACCAAGATACAATCCCTCCCTCGGTACGCGACTCACACCCCGGTTAATTCCGGCTCGAGACTCCCCGACGACGTCTCGTTCACTCGCCGCGACGGTGTCTACCCGACCGTCCGCGATCATCCCGGCGCACGTTCTCGGACGATCGTCGTCCCCGACGAGTTCGCGCTCGCCGTCGACGCGATACCAGCGAGTATACCGAGCGGTATCACGACGGCCCGTGCAGAGGACGTACCAGGATTCTCATTTTTGCTCTCGCGATGTTCCGGGTGCGTCCAGGAGTGAACTGGATGCTGATTGCCGTCGGTTCCTGGCCTTATATACGCGGCACACTTTCGCCTTCGCCACCCGGGGCCCGACGGTCCGGGGCCCCCAAGTCGTATACCCCCACGTTACACCTCTTTGTTCAGCTACGACGACGACGACGGTCCCACCGTCCGAGCGGCCACCACTCCCCTTTGGGACAGACGCCCCCCCCACCCCTCTTCCTCACCCTCCCTACACACACACGCGCGCGCACGTGTGTCGCAGAAACGTCCCTCTCCTTCTTCGACTCGCGGACACGGGCCTCGTCCTCTTCCTCATGCTCGTGATGTGTCTCGCCGTTTTTTTTCTCACGTATCTTCGCCGGTACCTTGACTGCGCTTCGGCACTATGCGATACTTTCTCTGGCGAACGACGGACATACCGATTGGCCGTCCCTTAGCGTCAAGAGCTGCCGGCGAGACGTCGATTGTATCCGCGCGTGCCTTTCCCGTTCGGGCCGATGGGCGTCCGGGTCGAAACAGTACGTGAAAACTCGTCTCCTCGCACGTAACGTTTCACGCCGAGCTCGCACCCAGACCGAGATCGCGGATCTCTTACGGCGGCTCGCGTCGAGATACGGACACGTCGCCGGCAATCCGTGACATACATCACGCGTATCAACTAGTCGCCGGCTGTCACCGTGCGGCTGGCGCGTGTCGGCCGACTATGTCCTGTCGGGGATCCGTCGCGTTAGCCGAAGTTAAATGAAATTCCAGAGAGAATCGTTATATCACGACAGTTGGAATGTTCGGTTGTATCACGCTCGAACCGAAATGACCTGACGACTGTGTCGGTATTCCGGTAGTACTCTGATTCATAACAGCTCGATAGTATTCTCCTTGGAAATACAGTTGAAGTGTACTCGCGAGTCGGACAGCTTACGTCGTGGCAGCACCACGTGTCGTAGTTCCTTGAAGTAGTAATGCTTCGTCAGTGGAACGGAAGTCGGCGAAACCCTTCCGGGGACTGGAACGCAATCGCTGAAACGCAATCGTGGATGACGTGCTTTATGAAAGCGGGCATTTTGTGTTATTAAATCCTATACGCGGCAGATCGCTGGTTCGTCCTGTATACGGGACGATTGCGGATGAAAATCTATAATCCTTCTCGCGTGGGAAGATCCGTTGACAATTCTCGCGCTTTTCCCTATTAGTTTTCTCTTTTCTTTTTCTTGCTTTTTAATAGCACTCCGCACGAATTATATGCGCGTAGTACGTAGGCACACACAGAACATCGACATGCGCCAACCTAGTTTCTCCGCCGGTAGATTATACTAATTTCCTACCCTCTTTCCCTACAATTTCGTGTCCTCCTGCAAGAATGCGTAATTCGCATTCCAACATTACGTCGTGCCATAACACGTGCTCTACTCTGCATCGTAAATTTCTCGCTTTCGACCCTACCGTTTTCAAATATCTCGCGATGCTCCGATCGAGTCAAAGGCTGCTCCCTCAATTCTCTCAGTCGCAATTTCACATCATACGAGCGAAAATTTTGCAGCATCTTTATTGAGATTGTTATCTGTACGAGAACTATAACAATCGATCGACGTCAATTCTTAGTTCTTGACAGTCAGGCAAGTTTCTACAACTCTAGAAATACAGGTTTTAGACTCGTATTAATAGTTGCTATCCGAAGTTTGTCTCATATGACATGCTCAGATTTTTATTCAGAGTTAGATCTAAATTTTTCAGTTGAATTATACAATATATGCAATATTTATGTCTATAATCGCGATGCAATGAAAAACTCTTATCTAAGATTTGTATGAACAGTCATTACTTGCCCCACGTGAGATATTCAAATCTGAATTGAGTTAAATTTTAGTTTTCTATCTGAGCGATATGACATAAGTGGCATAAATTTTTAATCGCAGTTCAACTGAAAAATTCACATTTAATTCTAAATTCAAATCTGAGTATTTCACCGGAGGCGAGGTTCGAGTGAAACTTATCTTGCGTGAGATACTCATACCTGAATTTAAAGTTGGATCTGAGTTTTAATTGAATTATACGATACATACGACACGATATCAATCATTTCAATTCAACTGAAAATCCTCATATCTAACTCTAGATAAAAATCCAAGTATCTCATCTGAAACTCATCTAACTCTAAATTAAAGTCTAAGTATCTCATCTGAGTTTCAAGTAACGACTATTAATACAGATCTTAGGTCCGTATTAATAGTTGTTACTTGAAATTTGTCTCACGTGAGATGACACGTGAGAAACTTGTCTCAGGTTAGAATGTTGAGTTAGATTATTTGAATCATATATGTGTGACATTAAATTTATAATCGTGATTCAAACTCACAACTAACTCTAAATTCGAATCTGAGTACCTCATATAAGGCGAGTTTCAAGTGACAACTGTTAATAACGATTAATGAATCTAAGGCGCCTGAAAATTAGGCGACCTCAAAAGCATCGCAGTCGTCGCATCCGCGAGATTCCTTTCGTTTTCTAATAATCCTCCCCGTTGGACCTGTATATACCGTCTATACTGTATTGACGCAACGCGCGTTCCAGCTACGCGCGGCTCGATACGTCATTTTTCGTGGCGATCGACTGCAACGGTCACGCGAATCGCGCGCGATCAACGTCATCATCCATCCTCTCCCTTTCGCTGTTCCGTTTTCGTCCTCACCTGGCTTGGCGCGCGCGTGCCCGACACATACTGTCGGACGCCTCGTACGTCATGTAACAGACACAAGTATACCACACCCACACCCACACGTGGGGACGAGAGACACGCCGGTGGAACTTATCTCCCGCCGATCTCGTGGGTGCACCATTGCCCCCTTTCGTGTGGGACACGCGGGGTCCCACGTCACGATTCCGCTCTTAACGTCGCTGAAGTTCCGTTTTCTTCCTTCTCCGCGCGCCCGAGTACGTCGATGTTTACCGGTGCATTGTCTATGGGATATGATCACCTTGCGCGGAGACGCCGTGTAATGTTATATCACTCCACCCAGTAAATGTTCTATCAGAACTGTCCGCGGAAATGCTGCAGCGCAGGACTTACACTCCGCTTTTCGCAAGCGAAAGCGACGTATGTCATTCATGTATTTCGTAATACAGGATAGAGGAAAAGGAGGAGGAAATGTTCGTTACACTTTACTCGGAATATGCAACGATATGCGTCAAAACGTGCAGTCCAATGTTGAATAATCAATCGAATCAATAGAATAAAGTGCACTGAGAGAAAATAACGGTTAACGACTGATCTAATTAAAATTGTGGATATTTTTGGCCCCAGTAATATTTTTTGGTTATTCTAATATGAAAATAGTACTAATAACATGCATATAAGGTTATCACTAGCATTGTACAGAAAATTTTATTAAAAAATAGTTTTCTTGATCATAATTTGTAGTAATTATTCCTCTGTGTACTTTTAATTTACAAATACTAAACATTTTTCTGTAAATTAATGTTAAAAATTCCAGAGAAAGGCTTGAACAGCTTACAACTATAAAAGTGGTTAATTATTGGCGGATTAGAGAAATTGGCATGGTGAAATGAATCGAGTAAAAGGAAATTAATGAGCGAGCTGTTGATTTAAAATTCGATTTACTTCTCGGGAAGGAATTCACTTGAAGAAATTACATATTTAATAGATTGAAGAGGATGTGACTGGCCATTTCTCTCTCTCTCTCTCTCTCTCTCTCTCTCTCTCTCTCTCTCTCTCTTTCTGTCTCGATAGCATTTCCAGTTCGAAGGTTACTTCAGTTTTTAAATGAAAAAGCTCATTAACATGCAATCGATGACAATCGCGCTATCTGACATTGGGGGCTCACCTCGGCTCCATCCAACCGTGTAACCCGATTCGATAATTTCCTCGCGGGACGATTCCTTGAATATAACGCCTTCGTTTAGCTCTTTCGCGATGCTATTCGAATGCGTCCGCCCATCCGTCGGATGTGAGTAGGCAGAAAAGGTTAATCCATAAGAATTCTCGATAAAAATCGTAAAAACTGTGTAGACGGAGAGCGACCATCTTCACACCTGATGAATTTCACCCAAATTTATGCGGAATTTTATGTTCCGGCCCTCGACCGGATCTTATCCACTGGCATTCAGATCCGGTCCTCTCACATCGTGCATAATTTTGTCTACGAGACCGAAAATAAAACACCAAACATTTGGGCAATAATGAGTAATATAATCAAAAGAACGATAGTAAACGACCCATAGTTAATGAGTGACTGGTCAGCACGTCGACCGTAAAACTGATGCTATCCGAAATCCTGGAACGCATATCTCTTCACGTGTCGCCATAGTTGAAATGACCCTTATATTCCCTGTACTGCTTATTCTGTAACTTTCAACGACAATATATCGTTATCGTTGTACGTCGTTACACAGCTGTTGTGTTATGTGTTATATCTGCGCGGCGGTGCGTAACGCTTGCGTTACTGTTACAACGCAAGCGTTAAGAAATTGGGCCTGTGCGACACTCTTTCCTCAAACGCGTATCTAGCCTAGGAGAAAATTAATCAGTTTAATAATTCGCTAATCTCGTCGATGATATCACAGACAGCATTCGTTGTCGTGGGTAGCGATACGTACGCGTGTGCATTTAGGCGTCACGCGTCCGATAAACTCGTTACGACACTCTCCAACGTGTATTTTCCAACGAGACAGCGAGCGCGCCTCTCGTCCGACGAGCGGAGGACCGTTTCGTCGGTCGTGGAAAGTGGAAGTGTCGGAATAACGGATCGTAATTCCGAGCCACGGTCTTTGGAAAGATCGTCTGGACGCTATTACGTAAAGGTCGTTGCCGATGAAGAGTCTCTCGGTGAAACGGCAACACACTTACCTGCTTATAGCCGAATGCCATCTCTGTCCTCCCACTCGACTGCGACGTTCATCTACACGGCGTAGACGAGAGTACTGTCTCGCGTCATTTTACTCGCTCCATAGAAATCGAGATTCCCCGTGTGTGACCTCACTAACCCTACTGACACTGGCCTTGACGGCTCTTCAAGGTTCACGAAAAATGACAGCGCAGTCATGACCACCTCAACCACCGTTTTGTCTAGCAGACCTAGTTACGAATTTGTAAATTTAATAAGAGAAATTAGTCAAATGCGATCACTTCGTTCGTTATTCTACAAGTGGCGTGATGCATGATTAAAATGTATCGACGATTTGCAATTTTTCATAAATTCTACAACTTTCTTAGTTTTATTATTCGCGAAAATTAGCGAAAAATTTGCACTCGCGGATGTTGCCTGATTTCCGTGGCATATTCTTCTGGCCCTTTTTTGTTCTGTTGGCTTATTGTCCAAGTCGTTCTGTGACACCTTATCAAAATGTGTATTGTAAAATAATGTAAATAAATTATCAAACATATGTTAGGCACGAAAGGATCTCGTTTGACGTTGCAGCCGCGAGTTGCTAGATTTTTTTGGAGACTGTTTCTCGAAATTTCCAAGCAATTTTTCTTCACGTAAGAGTATGATATAATGACGCAGACATGATATAAGCTAATTGGCTTTCTCTCATATTTTACAGAAATTTTGTCGCCGGGGTCCTTCAATTCCAACTTTATGGCGCACTGTGCCAAGCGGCGGGACAGCGATACCTCAACGATCCCAGGAGGCCGCTGCACAAGTGTGACTTCTACAAAAGCCCCGAGGCCGGCAGGATTCTAGGGTAAGTAATGAGAAAAGCGAGGGAAAATATCTCCTCGCTCCTTGTCGATAATCGCATAAGCTGAAGATCTTTGCGTCATCATTTACGCTACGCGTTGCGCAAATCCGTCGCGTACGCTCGCTCGAGAACGGAAGCACACGGGCGTAAAGGCGGCCTTTGAACAATCGATTTTTGATCTACGTGTACTCGCGATGCTCTCGCAACGCGGGGCGGCGCGTCTTTCTTGCACGGCACGAGGCCGCGATCGATCGCGGCCGCGACTTCGCTGAAGCTGTTTGCGGGCGGAACGGTAAGACGGAGGCGCAAAAAACAAGCGTTTCGCACGTCGTGCTTGCAGATCGCGTCGTCGCATTTTACGGCTTGAAAAAAGCTGCACCGCTATTTTGCGTCCGTATTTCAACGTCCGATGGGCAACACGGCGCAGGTGTGCAGTGGAAGCAGAAAAACGTAAAGTACCGCTTTACTAGTAAAGCGGCGCATTAAAGACTCGTAAAGCGCGAGCGGGTGCGGATACGTAACACAGCAATGGTAGAGTGCCGCGAGTAACGTGGGTACGTGTTAATTGCGCATAATTAAGAATAAAATACTGGCACGGGATTTTCATATTTGTGTGACGCGCATTTCTAAGAGACAGCACTTATAAGAATGTCGAACAAGCCGTCCGGGGACATTCGGTCGAAGAAAGTTAAATTCAACGTATCTAAATCGGGAAACTGACGGTATAATCTGGGCCGCATAAAAAATGTAAATCACTACGAGTGATACAACAACAAGAGAAAGGAAGCAGGATGAAGGAAAATGCTCGGTGATACTGCGACTTCATCATCATCTAACTGCATTATGCACGGCTCTTTCCCCTCGCTAATGGAATGTTACCTCACTTGTATGTCCTCCGAAGAGAAGGACGCGATCACGGAGAGCGAATTAGCAGAATTTGTATTCTATAGTCGGATCACGACGTCCAGATTTTGTTTCATTGCTGTCGCAGAATCCAGCGAATCATCCGAGTCGAAACTTGAGTCCTACTTTCAACCTGATAACATTTGTATATTCTGGAGAATCAGTATGTTTAATCCCAGAATTCTAAACATGACTAAAAGTTACCCGTGTTTCCAAATTTTCAAACGTTCTTACAAAGCATGTGTTTTGTTTTTTCATTATAATTCTTTTCAACTTTATTGGATCGCGAAAAAGTTAATAGATTCATATTCCTTGATGTTCTTTGCACCGATTAAAAAAAGAATTCCAATTATTTTTTTGAAAGTTATGAACAAATGAAAATGCATTAAGTAGAATTCGTAATTTCCTGATGTAAGGCTAATAACAAACCTGCTTTTTTCTAAAAAAAAGAGGTAAAAAAAGGCAATGCGCTTCCTCGTATAAATAAACATTATAAAAAAAGTTATTGATAAAATTCTCACAAAAAAGAAATGATATCAAACGGTTTACGCCAAATGAAGTTAATTTCATACACGATAAATATTGTTATAACTACTTTGTATGTATGAACACTACATTAAGTATCTACTGACTTTATTTTCTGATAATTACACAGAATTGGGAAAAAATAGTTTTTAAAAACTTATTTAGTAAATATACAAAAATAAAAATTTTGGGAAAAGTTAAATAAAATTCCATACGCACACAGAAAACACTTGGCGTGTCAGAATAAAATTTCACACGCACACATAAAACACTTGGTGTGCCAGAGAGGATCGCATTAATATTTTACGAAAATCTTTAGGGCATATGTTGTACGAGTAGCATTAAAAGAATGGGAAAGTTAATAGATTCATATTCCTCGATATTTTTTACACCGATTAAAAAAAGAATTTCGATTATTTTTTCGAAAGTTATGAACGAATGAAAATGCATTAAGTAAAATTCGTAACTTCCTGATGTATAGAATTAATATACATAGAAACTGAATGTCTACTTAACTTCTTTAAGTGGCAAAAAACGTACAAAATACTATTTGTAGGTCTCAAAGAGGTTCTCTCGACAAGGTAAGTAAATAGTATGTAATAGTGAGCAAGAGAACCAAAGGAGGTTGATGTAGGCTTTAGAGACTCCAAAATAGACGGTTAACGGAAAAGTGAAGTCGAAAGTGAGATTTCGACTTGGAGAAAAACGCAGACTTTTCCTCGCCGAAATTCACTGGTTTGCGATTCTAAGTATAACTCTAACATCACGCCAAAGGCGCCTCCGAGTAGGTATACAAAGTGGGAATTTCCGAATTAGTAGCGACGACCTGTTTATCACCTGCCTCGCTCCTAAAAGTTGTCAATAGTCGCAGAGCTGTTTCTCACAAGGGAGTAGCTCGTGACTCGTTAACCCAGAAGCCAAGCAGCCGTGGCCGGATATCTTGAAATATCAGGAATTCGCAAAATCCTATGGCGAGGCGGGTCCGCCAACACGATCGATGCCTCACTCCGGGTCTTGACATTTTGGCCCCATTGAGAGATTCAAGGTTAGAATTTATTCGGAGTTATATATAATGCATATCCGTGAGACATGTTGCCGTGTAAAAAGCACGACGTCCCCAAAAAGGAGGATGCAAAAAGGTCGTCGCGTTTCTCGCCGGTCGGTAATATTTTCGCCGGCCGGGCTGCGAAAAAATTATTCGACGAATGTAAAAAACGGACGGAACATCAATTCCGATGTAAAACAGCGCAGGTATAAAAAATATTACGCAACCCGCTTGCGGAGTGATCGTAACTTTTGCTCATCGAATTCGTCGTTGAGTCATTCAGAAAAATTCAAATCCCATGCGAGAGGATTTTTATATAAATATGCGCGGCATAATTAAACCATCGTGTCGTTTAACATACGTTAAAACGTGTGAGATTAAATTACACATTACCTCCCCACATTAGGCCGGGCCGATGATAATCGGCGAATTATTTTAGCGAAATTTATTTTGCATCGTGAAACAGCCGACGTCCGTGCAGCTTGGATTCCGCATTTGCTTATAGTTGCGCAAACCCCACGATATTCGCCTTTTCATTATGATGCTACTCGCGTAACTATATTTGGAATACGGGGCTCGACACGAAACCTCCGCGACGATTTCGACATTCCTAATTGCGTGTCTTCAAACCGCCTGCTCTCGTTTACCTCGGATATCTTCTGAATAAATCACTCGCCGACATAGACACGCTAACTACTGGCTGCAGTTTGAATTCATCGCGGAGTTCATTGTTGCTATCGGAAGAAAGTAATCGATGTCGCGATGTCCTGAATTAGTCGGCTGAATTGTCCCTCGTAATTTGAATAATTACTTTTGTCATTCTGCTGTGTTCCCACGTATTTTTTTTTAATCTCCTCGCACATTGGACATGTTTCCACACCTTTTACCTAATATTTTATAACTCAGATATAACTTAAATTTTGATAGAAAACAGATTTTATTTTTTATTTTATTTTATATTTGTTGTTATTTTATTATTATTATTGTTGTATTATTATTGTTTTATTTGTTGACCTAATTTTATATTTGTCTTAGATCTCTTATTTGTTCTTATTCTAAAGAGAAATCTGATATCTGTAACTATAATCACAGAGAAATAATTATTATGATCAAGAAAATCATGTTTTTCATTAAATTACATAACGTTAGTGATAATAATCTTGTATGTATATTACTATTATCATTCTCGTGTTAAAACCAAAAAATATAGTTAGCGCCAAAAATAGCTATAAATTTTAGTTAGGTCAACCATTTCCCCCCTCAGTATATTGTGCCGAAAATTCCAAATATTCAAGAGTTAGCAATTATAATGAAAAACGACATGTATCTCGATTGTTGAGAAACCGTTTAATATCTTTTATTATTAAAAGAACATAAGGAACACATTGAGCTCTCTCGCTCTCGTCCTTTCTCGCTCTCGTCATTGGCTCGACCGTCGTTTACAAGCGATCTCGTACTAAATCAGGAATTAAGAATTTAGGATTGCGTTGAGGAACGTCTTTGTTGAGGAGAATTTTATTAAAAATCTACAACTTACGTTACATATACTTTCAATGAAATTTTCCTCAGAAAATACGTTCTCTGGAGTGCAACCTAGAAGAGTTAAATATTTTTTTATTGTTGTATATTCCTACATCCCGTTGTATATTCTTTGTACCTTCTGAACCGGGATAAATCGGTTTCCGGAAAAAACAAAGGGTGAAAAATCGGAACCGTTCCGGGGAAAAAACGGGACGTATATTCCTATATTCCCAATTAATCAAATCAAATCAAATTCAAGCCAAGCAATTGCTTTCTTCTCGAAGCGGTCTTTTTTCTCGAGAAACTGCTGTGCGCGCGTTTCGCAAGACTCTCTTCTGAAAGCAATGAGAGCTGCCGTTCATAAACGGATGATTCAGTCGTTAAATTAAATTTAAGCTAACCACACGCGACACTACGACCAGCAAGGTACGCAATAATAGTCGAATAACGGTCGTATAACGACGGAATAAAAACCGCTTTGAAAGCACCGCGGTGCTAAGTGGCCGCCTTCGGCGTCGAAGTCGCGTCCACGTTTTGCCCGCGGTCTCGGCGGTTCAGCGGCGCGCAAACACGCCCGGGCGCCGGGATTGCGGTTTTGCGTCGTTGATTACAGGTCGCATTATGCACGCGAGCCCGATCACGATCCGCACGAGTGTTGCGAGATGCGTTCGCCGCGGTAATGACGCTTAGATCGGTATCAGTTCGCGGAGCACGTGGCTTTTCGCGACGGCGCCCTTATTAGCCGAGGTGACCAGACGTCCCGTTTTCCCCGGAACGGTTCCGATTTTTCACCCTTTGTTTTTTCCGGAAACCGATTTATCCCGGTTCAGAAGGTTTTTAAAACTTTTCCAACATAGAAAGACCACTCAGGAAAATTCATATCCTTAGTAAATACGGTAATTTTGCTTCCTCTTTTGAAGTTTAGATAAAAATAACGACAGTTTTGTCTTAGCAATAGTTTCTATTCTTAATTGGTGTTGAAACTATTTTTTATATATTTATAAGTAAA